AGCCTGCCACGGCCATACAGTTTGTAACCAATATAAGTCTCTGTGTTTACTTGATCGGGTTTGAGCGGCTTGGGACTGGCGGGTGAGAGATTTGTCCAGACTGTGGGCCAGGCAGGAAAACTCTAGCAACAGTAAAGTAATATTAAAAACTTAAGGGCCGAGTGGTGGTGGCGCACACCTTTAATCCCAGCACTCGGGAGGCAGAGCCAGGCAGGTCTCTGTGAGTTCATGGCCAGCCTGGTCTACAGAGTGAGTTCCAGGAAAGGCACAAAGCTAAACAGAGAAACCCTGTCTCGAAAAACCAAAAAAACAACCAACCAAACAAACAAACAAAAAAAACTTAAGGATGAGAAGTAATCAGGGCACTTGGATCTTGAATGCTGCATTGTTGACTTTGAATTTTTGAAATGCTGATGAGCAAATGGCAGCTGCTGAGAGACATGGGATTGTGGAAGGAACTGCTGAATTAAACCAGCCTAGATACTTTAGGATGTCTTGGCTTCAGAATGGGAGTCAGGAAATGCGTTGCCTTGGGGGAAAGGCTATGCTTTTGTTTCCACAGGAAACAAAAAGCTATAGATTGCTTCAAAATTAATAAAGATCAGATTTGACTAGGGGAGACCTCCTGAAGATCTTGACTGCGGATGTGACAGGACAGGTGACGTGTATGCTGATCCTTCTACATGGGAACAGCTCTGAGACTGGATGAGACATGATAAATTTTGTTGGCTACAGAATCCTCCTAACAGTTTGGTTATACTGTCCAAACAGACTTATAAAATTGACAGATGTCTTTTACCTGCTCAAGCATAAAACAAATCATCTTTAGCTGACTTGTGCACACTGCACATTTTATACTTGTGATAATTCAGATATGTATGTTACCTTTAAAAGTTTGTGTGTTTTCAGATCAAAAGGACAGGAGATCAATAAAGACAAGTATCCCAGGTGATCCAGCCTCTCAGAATGCTTCAGTTTACAGTTTCCTCAAAAATTTACATCCAGAACAACTTCAAAGCTGCTAGCTGAGATGGTCCAGCCTTACAGACTACTCCAACCAAGACTTCAGATACACTCTACACTTACCCATTACACAGAGACTAAACAAAAAATAACACAGCTATCTCCCCCAGGACTTGACCATTATCTCAATTTTCTAAGGGTCCCTTAGAGATGCTGTCACCCCTAGGAAGCAGTCTAGAGAACAGGTCACCCACATTCCCAAGGGGTGGGTGGTTTCTGGTCATTCGGTGGATGTTTGTCATTGTTTGAGGATGTTGGTTGCAAGTTGTTATTGCTCATGGTCAAGGAGGAAACTAAACAAAAGAGGTAGGTTCAGAGATCTTTTTCCCAAAAAAGGGTAGATTATTACATCTACTTTTAAAATAAAGATGATAGGATTAAAAGGTAGATTATTGAATCTACTTTTAAACTAAAAAAAAAAACTACTAGTCTCAAATATTTCACATTGGCATGGATTTTTATATATTGATACAAATTTAAGGTTATTTTTGTTATATTATATATATATATTTTTTTTTTTCTACTCTTGTTTAAGTTATTGTATCTATGCAGCTCACTTAAAAATATAATTTATAATTAAGAAATACAGGTTAGGAGTCATCTATAATAATCAAACTTGTAGTCATGTTATATATGTTTTCAAGGTTAAGCCTAGATTTGTTTAGCTCAGATAGACTTAATAGATAATGGTCCTCAAACTTGTCAGAGATCTGATGAACATGGCATTTAAAATGTTTAATGAAGAAGTATTACTATGACAAAGACTCCTAGTTCCTAGCAGTGACCCAGAGATTTCCAAAGAAGATGACAGGGTACCATGATGTCTCCATCTGGATTGTGGTAATGCTAACCACTGGGAAAGACTGCCCCAATGCAGAACCTACCTCCAGGACCCAGCCTAAACTGTGGACAAGCAGGGCAGTGAAGAGTCGATTGCCTCACTTTGCCTAGCCAAGGAAAGATCAGTCTCTCCCATGTTCCTCCTCCACAGGAAAGCCTCTCACCTCCTTGGCCTGGCAGCTGAAGACTGATGCTGTCCTGGTACCTCTGCCCCCAACACCATGAAGACCACAGGAGCCAGAGATAGCTATCTAGGTAATGGACTAGTCACTGTCATTTTAATTGATACATAGGCCATTTGGATTATACTTCATGTTATAATTTATTCTTCTCAGATCTGTAATAGTACTGATGGCTGGACTAACTATAGCTTTGTCAGCTTAGCAGCAGCAGACAACCAGGTTCTTACCCCAGGCTGCAGCCAGGTTGTTAGCTCATTTCATATGTAAAAATCAAGCCTTGCTTTTTCTAGAGTAACTAGGTATCCTATTGAGAAAGGTAGAGAGGCTTGTCTTGCTAATAGGCTTCATATTAAAAGATAAACAGGTTTCAGGTCTGATAAGCTGGTAGAGCACTGGCTCATTACTGTTCAGTCATAAGCTCAAGATTTTATATTTCTTTTGGTTATCTTCTAAATATAGACTTAAATGTACTTGTCAATGGGCTAAAGACATTTCTGTCCAATCTATTTCTGGCTCTCTAGACAGAGAAAAAATGTTCATGCTTTTTAACCCAAATCTATAGATTTTGCTAGGACTCAAAGGTGTGAGCCTATATCCAGCTGTGTTACAGACACCTGTTACCTGCTTTTTCTACAATGTGGATTTCAGTACAGACTGGTAATGCTAATATATCTGAAACTTTCATGTCTTTTTGTAAACTAAAAAATTCATGTTAACTTCAGAGAATCGAGGGAGTCTTAAGACTTGGATCCATCTCTCACACGTCAAAAGGACTCCAGATAAGTACAGCATAGTCTCCCCACCTGTCTATTCCTGAGGATGGATTTCTCTCTCTCACAGTCTTGGGGCTCCTCCCTTTCCCCAATTACTAGGACTATTGGGGAAAGTTACAAATGTAAGATTTTCCTTTAAGTTCCTAAATTTTAACTTCTGTCAGTAGTCTATATCTGTCTGAGCAGATTTCCACTTGGCTGACAGACACGTACAAGCATCAGCTGCTGTCTACAACATGCTCTAAATGACTGAAAGCCCTGGACTTGCTGAAGGCTGATGTGGACCAGTCCAGCCTGTGTGAATGCACCCTGCCTCTTCAGCTGGGTCAGCAAACCAGAGACTTCTGATGAATGCCCCATTGCCTGAATCCCCTCCTTGCCTTTGACTAGCATTCCAGACTTCCTGGGCCCTGACAACAACATCCTAGTTTCAGCAAGAAGTACAGAAGAGAGTATGCTCCCTTTGTTCCCCAACAGTCTGGAATATTAGATCAAAAGGAAACTCCCTGTCATATGGGACAAAATAGCTTCCTATAGTGCCTATTGGCTTACCAAGAAAGGCACCTGTTAAAACCAAAGGGATCTGGAGTTCTATAGTATGATGGGGCACTCAACCTGCTCTATGTAAAACAGAGAGTTTATTATAAAGCTGTAAAAGAAAATTGTTTCTATATAAACCATGCAGGAATCATTATAAATAACTTGGATGGACTAAAAAAAATGTCATTGCAAAAACGAGGACCTGAGATGAAGTAAATAACTGGTCTCCATTCTCATTTCCAGGTTCCTTCTAGATGATAACTCTGATGTCAGCCATCACAAGGCCTCTGGCCATTCTACTTCTGCCAATTGCTGTTGGCTCTTTATCATTGATGCTTTAGTTAAATGATAATTCCTGTCTAGATACCTTAAGCTGATGGTTATTAGATCCTAATATAAACAGGTGCCCATCACAGAGTAAAGGATTTGACTCAGGATACAACTCAAGGGGGGAAATGCTAGAGCCATAGTTACATTTTAAGTTTTAATTACTATGCTATAGAAATCCATGAAACAAAAATGTCTCTGATCTGCAAGCCTCTTGCCAAGGACAGATAGTTCCTAAAATGCTGGAGGCTATTGTTTATGAGAGATAACAAACCACGTGTTTTTCCTTCTCCTAAATAAGTTTGTTTGACCCATCTGCACCAGATGTGCTTGATCATGTGTGGGAGTGAGGTAAGTAGACAGGAAATATGTCAGGGTGTATGCTTGCCCCTGATTGGATTTGATGGGAAATGCAATGAATTATGGGTTTTCCTTCTTAAGTCGTTGCCATACTTGATTCTGGGCCTTTTCCCAGGAACCTGGGTATGGACCTGGCCATTTCCCATCCACGTGGCTAGTTTTTAATTAAAGCTTGCCTCAAATTTGGCTTTAAACTGTAGTGGTGTTCTTATTTTTGATGGGTGGGATTAATATTATGCTTAGATTATTAGTTATTTGAGATTGACTTATTTTATGTGTATTTTGTCTGCATGTATGTATGTGCACCATGTACATGCCTATTTCTTGCAGATACCAGAGGAAGGCATCAGATCCCTTGAAATTGGAGTCACCGTGTGGGTGCTGGGAACTAAAGCCAAGTCTTCTGCAAGAGCAAAAGTGCTCTTAACCTCTGAGCCATCTCTCCTGTCCCCGGTTTTAAATGTGGGCTCCTGTCCCTGATTTTAATTTTGGGTGTTCAAGACTGAGCTTGGGTTGTCCTGCCTGCATAACAAGCACCTTGCCCACTGAGCCATCTAGCAAGTTCAAGTTGCTGCTGTTCCTCGGTACTGCAAAATATTACCAAAACCATAATGGGAGCCACAACTAGGTTCACATTTCTGCTCCATCACAAAGATGTGCGAGTATATGCAATTTCCTTAACCCTTTTTGCAGCTAAGTTTACAGTCTTTCAAAAAAAAAAAAAAGAGGAGAAATAACACGGTTTTATGATGTGAGGAACAAGTGAGACGATGAACATGGCGTCTGGCACACAGTCAGTGCCACTGCGGATCTATCTGGAGCGGAAAGTCAAGCTAGGAGTTAAAGTGGGAACAATTCCAGAAGTAAACTAAGGAAGAACTTTTGGGTGGCTAGGCGCATGCGCCTGTTGGCGGTCGCGCAAGTTGAGCCGCGCTGTGCAAGCGACGGAAGTTACAGCCGGGAAGCCAGCGAGGTCGGTTCCGCCCGGCTCTAACATGGCGGCGCCCTTTGTCTGCTGTGAAGCGCTGCCCCCGGCCTTCTCGCGGCCGTGATGCACCTCCCCCTGTGGTAGAGTTCGGGACATGGCAGGTGAGGCTGGGCCAGCGCGGGCGGCCGGGGAGTCCCGGGAGGCGGGACGGAAGCCGCAGGGGCCCGGAGACTTGAGATGCCGGGACAGTTGTGTGGGGGAGGGGAGGCCCGGGCGGAGGGCGCCGCGGGCCGGGGAGCGGCCCGGAGGGGTGGACGTGCACCCGCGCTGCCAAAGGGGCGCGAGTCGCCTCCGGGGCCGGGTGACACCCCGGCTGGTGGCATCTCCGCCCCCGCCGCCGGGCTGTCACCGCCCCTTGACCCCGCGCGCCGGCCGCGGCGGGTGGGCGTGCTGCGGCCGCGTGGGGGCGAAGTGCGGGGCGGCCTGGATGGGGGGCGAAGTGCGGGGCGGACACTGCCCCCACCGTAGACCATTCATTCATTCACTCGTCCACCCATCCGTCCAGCCTGTTGCCCTCCTCGCCGCCCCTGACAGATCTGAGAACAGAGCAGGAGATGCCAGCGGACTAGGTCCGCAAGTGGGACCAGAGTTCTCAGCTCCAAGCGGAGAAGACTCTACCTCAGTTTCCTCAGCCTTAAAGCAGGGCATATAATAAAACCTGTCTTCTAAGATTGTGTGATAGGTTACATGAGGTAATAGGTGTACAGAGCCTAGCATGCTTACAGTTAAGAGAGTGAATGTCCGGAAAGTCCCATGCTCTTACGTGTGTCATCGCCATTCAGAGAGCAAAGACTCACATGGGAGAGAGAAACCGGCCTTTCAGAAATCACTGTGCTGCAGGAGGGAGCCTTACTCCAGGACCCCTTACTCAGTCTAGGTGAATCCAGGGAGTCCCATTCTCCCAGGAAGCCGAACCTAAAGGGTACTTAGGGGAGTGAGGCAGGAGAAGGGTGGTATGTCCTTAGTTGAAGGTGTTGTCTGTGAGAATGCTCAAACTCCTCTTCCCCTGGCAGAGATGGGCAGTAAGGCCACTGAAGCTCTGCCTAAGTCTTTGGGACGTTCCAAAGTTCAGCACTTTTAGCTTTTAGGTTAATGAGAAGGCATTTAATTATCAGGTTTGTGGACAAGAAAGATCACTGGGCAAGTTGAAGAGGAATAAAGGAGTGAGCCTGAAGTCAATTAAGAGATTGCCAGACTAATTTAAGTGAGGCATAAGGGTGGCCTTGAGTAAGTTTAGGTGCAGAGAATGAGTGGGGAGAGATCATTTTGGAGGTAGAACTGATAAAACTTGGTGATAACTCCAGCGAGAAAGCACTGAAGCGTCAGGATTGTCCCATTTCTTCTTAAAAGTGTGTGTATGTGTGTGTCAGAGGACAGTATGTCAAGAGTTGATTTGGTTCTTATCTTCTGCCTTGTCAAGTCAGGGTCTCTCCTGTTTCTCCTGTATAGTGTATTACAGGCTCGATACCCCAGGCGTTCTGATTCTCCCATCTGTCTGTCATCTCTCCCCAGGAGAGCTGAGAGTACACTTGTGACCCACTGCATTGTGGGTTCTAGGGAATCAAACTCAGGTTGTCAGGCCTGCACAGCCAAGCAGGCACTTTTACCTGCTAAGCCAAGTCCCCAGTGCTGTCCCCTGTCCTTGGCTGGTGGATGCTGGCATTGCTCACTGTGGTAGGAAGCAGAACAAGGAACACATTTAACAAGAGAAAGATTTAGTTTTAAAGGAGCTGGAAATAATGTGCCTGAGAAATAGATCAGTAAGCCTGGGATGGTAGTTCATGCCTAGAATCCCATACTGGTGAGGACAAGACAGAATTGTGGATAGTTCAACTCACTATGTAGCCTGAGCTATATTGCAAGTTCCTGGCCAGCCTGAGCTATAGAGTGAGACCCTGTCTAAAAACAACAACAACAACAACAAAACCAAAACCCTGTCTAAAACATTGAAGTGAAGCTATCTGGTGGTGATCTACCACTGTCATGAGGGTGTGGATGGGATGAGAATCAGTGTTGTGGACATCTCAGGAAAGTCTGTGCTACCCTAAACTGAGCAGAGCATCACCACTGGCTGGGCCTGTCTCAGGAAGGAGTTCCTGAGTGTGGAGCTTGGAATCCTGATAGTTCATCTTGTTCATCACAGTCTTCTACAGCAGGCCAATAGTAATTCATTTTACCATTCACTGAGGGCTTACCTTTTGCCAGGCTCTGTCCTAAGCTCTGCACTTGCCTGATTGATGGGAGAGGGGAGGAGCTGGGCCTGGAGAGCAAGCAGGTGTCCTCACGTTCTCACTGGAACTTCCACTTGGGTATCTTTGATTTAGGTGATGAGCTGGAGGAGGGGAGCCGAGCTGGAGTTCCTGCAGGCACATTGTCTGAGAAGAGAGCCCCCGGCTTTTTGGAGATCTGAGGTATGTCTATAATACTGAAGGACAGAAGCTGTCTGTAGGAGACAGGTTTTTGTTTTGTTTTGTTTTGTTTTTTGCGGCAGGGTTTCTCTGTAGTCCTGGCTGGCCTCAAACTCACAGAGATCTGCCTGCCTTCTGAGTGTGGGGATGAAAGGTGTGTTTTTAGTCATTATCTGCACTCGGCATGGTTCAGATTGCCTTTTGAAGATTTTTTTTTTCTTTAAAATTAATAATAAAGTCAGGTGTGGTGGTGCACACCTTTGGTTTTAGCACTTGGGAATTCAGAGGCAGGTGGATCTCTGAGTCTGAAGCCAGCTAGGGCTACATAGTGAGATTGTCTCAAAATTCAGTGAAAAAAATCCTTGTTACAGTTTTATTGTGAAATGGTGGGTAAACTTCGTTCTTTTTAAGTAGCATCTCTGGTATTTGCCCTGTCACTCAGGCTGGCTTTGAATTCAAAGGGATCCTAACTCTGCTTCCCTAGTTCTGGGACTGTAGGGGAGCTATCATGCCTGATCTGCTTACTTACTTTTGTCAGCAAAACTAAAGTATGCTTGCTTTTTTTTTTTTTGAGACAAGGTCTCTCTACCCCTGGCTATCCTGGTTCTTGTTTAGTAGACCTGGCTGGCTTCACACTCTGCCGGTGCCTCCTGGGCGCCGGGTTTGAAGGTGTGTGTCACCACACCCAGATTTTGACGTATTTTAATTAGGTGAAATCTGAAAGTCTTCCTACAGGGCTCCGTGGTAGATTGCTAGCCTAGCCTGTTTAAGGCCCTGGGTTCAAATCTCTAGCGTTGCAAATCAAGGAACTAAAATGTTCCAACAAAGCAACCCCAGATAGAGTGGCCAAAGTCAAACAGCTTTTTCCTTCCCTCCTTAACAGTCTAGAAATACTCGTTCTAGAGCTTGTTGAGCAGGCCACAGTGCCCATGAGTTGCATCTGCAACAGGATTTCTTTGACCATGTGGTTTTTGCTTCAGTGCCAGCATCCATCTAATGGCCCAAGCTGGCTCCTTCAGGTTTTACTATCATATATGAACTCCATCTCTCAAAAAGGGAGAGAGAGCAGGAACCTCATGCTCACTTGTAAGGTTCTGATGTTTAGAATGGTGCATTTTTATAGCATGGTGCCTGGGGCATCTGGAGTCTGGAGCAAAGAACAAGTCACACTCCAGTCTGCTGCTGGAGGAGATCCAGCTTCGAGAACCTGTTCCGGCCCCAGAGTGACAGGGTCATGAGTATGGGGCCCAGCCCTGCCCATGGTGAAGTCCACTGAAATGGTGAGAGTGGGCTGGATGTGTTCCCAGGATACTGTATGGGGTAGATTTGTGGTTCTTGGACCAGTGTCCAGGCTTTTCCACAAGTGTGCTCTGCATCCAGTGTGTATCAGACACCGTTAGGTGCTTGGCAGGATCGGATTCTAAAAGCAAAGCACTTTTAGCCACATACAGTTGTGGCGGGTCTTTCTTTGGACCGCGGACTCCTTAATAATAACACTTTTTATTAATTATGAAAGTTTGGCCTTAGCTTAGGCTTGTTCCCAACTGGTTCTCAAAACTTAAATTAATCCGTTTATATTAATCTGTCCTGCCACATGGCTCATCTCTCTTCAGTACCATAAGTCCGACCTGCACCTCAGATTCTTTCCCAGAGTTCCTATCTTTCTGGAAGTCCCGCCTAGCCTATCCTCTCCAGCCTAGCTATTGGCTGTTCAAGTCTTCATTAGACCAGTCATAAGGTGCCTTAGACATGTGAGGAAGATCAGAGACATATTTTCACACACTGTGCAGAACTATTTTCTCAACATACAGTATACAGGGTGTCTTGGAGGTCTGGCCACCAGTGTGAGGATGCACAGGGGACCTACCTGATGTCAGAGGCTGGGCTGAGGTGGTGAAAATTTAGAGTGAAGTAATGGTAAATGTCCCTTTACCTAGGAAGGGACAGTGAGGACTCAGAAGTGTGACTCTCTGCCACCCTATCTTGTGGCTCTGTCTAGAGGGCCAGTTGTGTCATGGTCCAGACTCAGTTTCCCCACCTGTAAAATAGGGCTAACAACCTGTGAGATGGGGGTGTTTTGAGAATTGTATGGGATCTACAGGGTGTGCTATGGGTACTTACCAGGTGTCTGCTGCCTCCTGCTGCAAGGTGCAGGATGGCTCAGAGCCCAGAAAGCCAGCCAAGGTTTCAGGAGGAAAGCCCAGCCAGAGCAGGAAGTCTTGTTGCTATCCATCCCCGAGGCACAGCTTAGCTGAGTGCCACCTTGGAGAGTCAGGACTGTGCTATGCCTATCTGGTTTTCCCAGGAGTCCCCAGCTTTCTAATCAAAGTCGTTGGTCTTTGGACCTTGGAGACCATATCCTGAGAAGTGTGGAGAGGATTCTTGACCTGATTCCTTCCATCTGAAAGCCTGTCCTAAGATCCCCTCAGTTGGGTGGAGTCCCTCTGACTTCCTGGTGGCACATGCTTTGAACCCAGAAGACAGAGGCAGGCTGATCTCAGGCTGGTTTACATAGTGAATTCTAGGCCAGCCAGGGCTGCATAGTGAGACTGCGTCTCAAAACCAAACAGAACCCTAAACAAACAGAAGGCAGGAAGGAAGGAGGCAGAGGCTGGGATTAGAATGGAAATGCTCCTCATGTCTACACAGCTCTGAAACCAGAGGCTCAGAAGGAAGAATCTGGCTGAG